GTGAAAACTACAAACTTTGTATACATTTTAATTTTGGACATTTTCCCAGTTTCACTCATCAAGGTGAAGTAATTATTCACACCCTAAGTAACTCTTTTAAGAACATCATTCTTCACTTTAGCTTATGATCATTTCCTTTTGAAGTCTTACCAGTAAGGCTTAAGGGAATCTGGAATTCCATTTATGTTTATATAAATAGCACAAGATGAATTTTAACTTCCGCATCAGAATTCTACATTTTCTTTGAGATTTCAAGCACACCACATACTAATGATGGAGGTTAGCTTATCACCCCACTGTAGAAAGAAAAATGAATAGACAAACCCACTATTTTTTTGTGAAATCCCAAAGCCAGACAGGGAGTTCTGCTTTTACCTACTTTCAAGGCTTCCAAATAACCATTTGGAATTTGACCTATGGTGTTTATTCTGAAAAATAATCCAGGTAACCCTTGAGGACCTATATAGAAAGGCTTGGGTTAAGGGAAGAGGAAAAGGGGAAATAACAGTGACAGACTGTATCTGTCCCGAGTCACCTCCTGGGGTTTAAGTTAAGCAGCTGGAATCCATTTTATCCATTCTCTGACACAGCAGACAGATACACTCACAAATGGCTTGCATTTCACTTTTCATAAAAGCCTAGAACAGTCAGCCCTCCCTACTGAGACAGGACTTTTCATCTGGGTAAAAATATAGAGAGATTCTCAAAAAGAAATGCTGAATTTCTCACTCAGAAGGGTTCATTGTGCTAGACAGCATGGAGAAGATGTCAGCGCAACAGTGGCTTGAAAAAACTGTCAAACTCCTGCATTTCACTCATTTTTGAGCTATCACATGAAGAACCTTTCCTAATTTTATTTTGGATCATTTAAAAAAATCTTTTTTGTCCTTGATTAAGCAACATGATTATACAGATTAAATGCATTTTCAAGAGTCTGTGCTAAGAAATAGGCTTTGTACCGAAGAGACCAAAATAGAACAGGTTGATCTTCATTTAAATCCCACAAAGCCTCACTGTATTAATACAAAGAACATGATTTTAATATGATGTGTGAGAAAATAAAAATTATGTGCTTGCTTTTTCTTCCTATTAAAGGATATCTGAATACTTCTTAGATGGACTTAGGAGCAATTTTTCTTTCAGGAGCAAAATTACTTCGCTTTTAGAGCAGAATGAATATCAATTTAAGTCACTTTATTTAAGCAATCAACAAAGTTTTACTGACTACATTTTGTCAGGCTCTGTGTCAGGCTCTGGATATTCAAAAGAGACACTGTCCTTCTCCCTCCTTACAAACAACAAAAATCTAAACAAAATACAGAAGTGCCTGGGTGGCTCAGTCGGTTAAGTGTCCAACTTCAGATCCCTTGGTTCATGAGGTTGAGCCCCACATCAGGCTCTGTGCTGACAGCTCAGAGCTTGGAGCCTGGTTCAAATTCTGTGTCTCCCTCTCAAGCATTCTCGCCACTCAAGTCCTCTCTCTCTCTTTCTCTCTCTCTCTCTCTTTCAGATAAATAAACATTAAAAAACCAAAACAAAATACAGGGGTGCCTGGGTGGCTCAGGTGGTTAAATGCCCAACTCTTGATTTTGGCTCAGGTCATGATCTCACAGTTCATGAGACAGAGCCCCACATTGGGCTCTGTGCAGACAGCTGGAACCTGCTTGGGATTCTCTCTCTCTCCCTCTCTTTCTCTGGCCCTACCCTACCCTTTCTAAGTAAATAAACATTAAAAAACAAACACAAATAAAATACATAGTTACTCATTCTGATTATTGCCAGAGAAGGACAGGAGATACTCAGAGACAACCTCTTTTACATAAGGTGCTCAGAGAAGATTTCTTTGAGGACATGGTATTAAAGGTGAGGCCCAACGAACAAGGAGAGAAGTCGGCCACACCAAACAGAGGTTTTAAACAATTACCATTTCTGGAGGGAAGGTCCCAAGGAGTAAAATCTTACAGTTTCCAAATACTCCTTAACAGATCAAAGGAAAACGTATTCAGATTCCATTTGTTTCCTCTTTCTAGAATTTGTTATTTGGATTAGAGGACATCTTAGGCTGATGCTCCAATTTTCTTACACTTTCTTTTTTGCTTTACTTTTTGGAACACTTTCTAAACTTTATTTTCCAGAATTCTGGAAGTCTTTATTTGTGCTCTTATTCTAATTTCAAACAGCTTTTGATTCATGGAAGCAATATCTTCCCTTCTCTTTCTGATGGGGCTGAGGAGACTGGGAGTTTTCATCTTCCTGCATAGTCAGTCCCCTGTATTGCTTTGTTCATTCATTCCTCCCTCCCTCCCTCCTTTTTGGTTTGTCTTGATCTCTGCCTCTCCCGTAAGAAATTTGGGGATACGTGGCTGACTGTACATCTTTAATGATGGGTTGCAGACAAGCCTTTAGGATTTAAGGGGAGAAGAGGGAGATGAGGTTGAGCTCTATCTACCATGCCACAGAATTTAGGTGCTTCCTATTGTACTAGTTGGCTTTCTCAGAGACAATCTCTTAGGTCTGCCTGCAGGATGCCAACCCTCTGGGAGTTAAATGAAGGAAGAAAGCTGGAGGTCCTTTCATTTAGAATGTAAGTTTCTACTTAATCCTCCAACTATGGAGACAAGGCAGAGATCCTCCCCTTGAACCCTTAAAGAGAACAAGTCTAGGTTTTCTACCTGGGTGGATCAAAAGGCAGTTGCCCAGCTCCATAGAGAAGAGCGGGGAACCACAGATTTCCACCAGGTCACTCTGCTTTAGCCCCACCATTCCCTGCCATTTCCAGTGCCAATGAGTGCCACTAGATCCCCGCGCCTTTCTGCTTTCCCCCTACAAGTCAAGCCACCAAATGTCTCAGGTCTGCTGCCAGCAGCCACTTGCTCATCTGCTTTTCAGTTTCCAACTTTTGTTACTACAAACTTCCCCCTTAGAAAATCTCATTGTAGTTTTCTTTGGGGCCTTCGGGAACAAGTGGAGTTCAAGGACGTACATATAAATCTACTGGCTTTCTCCAAAAATTCCGCGTTAGCTTTAAACATTCTCATTTCGAGGGATTGGTCGGGAAATGGCGGCGTAGGAGGACGCTAGGCTCACCGCATCCTGCTGATCACTTGGAT